TGGGTTTGGGACCTATTCCCACTGCTCCTTGCAGTTTAGATGATCCTGCCTGCCCAGTTCCTACTACATTTAAATTTCAGAGGCACAGCAGGGGTAGTTCCTGGACCCAGCGCGAGCTGGGACTGAGCATCTTCCCTTATTGACTAATCATGTAGTCAATAACAATTGTATCGACTACACAATTAGCCTATTACCTACCTCTTAACATCCTTAAACCCTGCCTCTGATGAGATTTTTCGTTTTGTTTTGTTTAATCCTGCACTCTGAATCCAGAGAAATAAATTACACATCAGTTTTACATGTAATGTGATAGCCCAGATGCACAACTGTTATTTTTGTTTCATAATTTGTTTAGACTAAGTTAGCACACAGATGTGTTGCAGATTTTTTTTTAACTTTTGGGCCAATCAGAGGTAAAGTCTATTTAAAGTGACAGAATACTTTCCCATAGACTTTAATTTGGGAACTTGTAGTTTCCCATATACAGGTATAAGAACCAAAACATTTTTAATCATGTGACTGCAAAAATGGGAAGCGGGGGAGAGGGTCGGGGTGCTTGGTCCCTTGCAACCAAAAATTGCGTCCTGTTAGATGATAAAAAACAAAACGTTCTTGGCCTATTGGGCTGGAATTAAGTTAGCAAACATCAAAACACAGTGTAGTTTTCCAAAAACAACAACATTTGAAAAGTTGAAACTCAGTCACAAAGCACTAGGATATTTATTTTTCCCCTAATACTTTTTCCATATATCATCTAATTGTAATTACTGTCATTTTATCTGCCTCAATTAGAAAGAACTTGTGTAGAACCTTAAGTAGTTTTATGTAACGTCCTATAAACAGTGTGTAAAGAAGATTCATTTGTAAACATGAGGGACCCTTCCAGCTAATGTGGAGAAGAGTTATGGACTTAACTCCACAACTTATCCCAGTGGAAAACTTTTACTGGTCATAAATTATACCACTGCTTTATATAAAGGCCATTAAATCATTCTCAAGGTAAATACAGGACTTGGTTAGGGTTTAGATTTACAGTAAGTTGGATTCAGCAACTGGATTGTATGCATGTCTTATTTTGCCACCCAGAAGAGGAATAGATTTGCTGGCATACTTCTGTAATAATTTAGGCCTCACTTCTGAAGTCAATCCTGATGCAGGTGGTTAACTTTACTCACAAGAGAGTTTAAAATCAAGGAGACTGTTCAGTTCACTGAAGTTTTACACCTGCATCAGTAGTTGCAGGATTGGGCCCTCACCCTGTTTCTGCATTTATTTTCAGAGTGTGCATGTGAATCCTGGTCTGATCTTGCGGGGTGCTGTGCACCCTAACGACTTAGCACCTGCACGAGGCTCCGATCCTGCAAAGACCAAACTTTATACATGTGACCAGTCCACTGGATTCGATAGAACTACTCACATGTGTAGCGTTTCGCAGTGCTGGAGCTTTTGCAGGACGGGAACATTAGAACATAAGAACGGCCGTACTGGGTCAGACCAAAGGTCCATCTAGCCCAGTAGCCTGTCTGCCGACAGTGGCCAATACCAGATGCCTCAGAAAGGGTAGACCAAAGACAATGATCAAGCGATTTGTCTCCTGCCATCCTTCTCCAGCCTCTGACAAACAGAGGCCAGGGACACTATTTCTATCCCCTGGCTAATAGCCTTTTATGGACCTAACCTCCATGAATTTATCTAGCTTCTCTTTAAACTCTATTATAGTCCTAGCCTTCACAGCCACCTCTGGTAAGGAGTTCCACAGGTTGACTACATGCTGTGTGAAGAAGAACTTTCTTTTATTAGTTTTAAACCTGCTACCCATTAATTTCATTTGGTGTCCTCTAGTTCTTCTATTATGGGAACTAATAAATAACTTTTCTCTTTATTCACCCTCTCCACACCACTCATGATTTTATATATCTCTATCATATCCCCCCTCGGTCTCCTCTTTTCTAAACGGAAAAGTCCCAGTCGCTTTAACCTCTCTTCATATGGGACCCGTTCCAAACCCCTAATCATTTTAGTTGCCCTTTTCTGAACCCTTTCCAAGGCCAAAATATCTTTTTGGTGTCAAAGACAGTGCAGGATCATTTGAAGACAGGACAAAGTTGGCGATAAAGCAGAATGATTTCACTTTGCGTGGAACAACTGTGAAGCACGACTGATATGTGCATAAAGAACACACACAGTTCACTGAAAGGAGCAGACTGAGTCTTTTATGCACATCTCTTGCCCTGGGGCGAGATCCTAGAATCATAGAACTGGAAGGGACCTCAAGAATTAATCGAGCCCAGTCCCCTGCCCTCACAGCAGGACCAACCACTGTCTAGACCAGGGCTATTCAACTTTGGAAGCCCTGGGGACTAAATTGTTACTCACAGTACATGCCGAGCGCCGCAACTTAAGTGTAATTGTATATACATGCAAATAAATATGCAAGTGGATTATTTCACGCTGATGGGCATGAATACAAAAATTAAGGCAAGACTACACAACACACAGACCCCATTTAAGGCCGTTCTGCTGATATTAATAAAATGCAATATTAATCCGATTTCCACCCGTATAACAGCACTTTTAATGAGCAATGACAGTCCAGGAATTTAACTACTAAAATGCATATCAACAGAAAACCATTTATATTGATTTCTTTTTTGTTTTAGCTCCCACCCATGGGCCGCATGTTGAGTAGCCCTGGTCTAAATCATCCCTAATAGATGTCTGTCTAAACTGCACTTAAATAATGCAGTGATGGAGATACCACAACCCCCCTAGGCAACTTATTCCAGTGTTTAACTACCCTGACAGGCAGGATGTTTTTCCTAATGTCTAACCTAAGCCTCCCTTGCTGCAATTTAAGCCCATTGCTTCTTGTCCTATCATTACAGGCCAAGGACACCAATTTTTCTCCCTCTTCCTTGTAACACGCTTTTAGATATTTGAAAACTGCTATCATGTCCCCTCTCAGTCTTCTCTTTTCTAAACTAAACAAGCCCAATTCTTTCAGTCTTCCTTCATAGGTCATGTTTTTTAGAACTTTAATCATTTTTGTTGCTCTTCTCTGGACCTTCTCAAATGTCTCCACTCTTGATTTCAGTGCCAGGATTTCACCTGGAAAGTGTGTACCATTGATCTAAGGTAGACAGCACTGATTTGAGTCCAGCTTCTGCTCCCAAAGAAATCAACGGGAGTTTTGCTTTTGACTTCACTTGGAGCAAGATCAGGCTTTATTTTCCACGCAATGTTAAATACGCAGCAGATGTGCTCACTTCGGCTATGTCTACACTGGCGGGTTATTGTGCCAGAAGTATGCAAATGAGGCTAAGCGTGGAATATCACCGAGCCTCATTTGTATACCTGATGAGCCGCCATTTTTGTGGAAGACGCTCTTGCGCCAGAAGGAGCTGTCTACACTGTCCCTTCTTGCGCAAGAAAAACCCTCTTGCGCAATGCCGTTATTCCTGAAAATAATCAGTGTAGCAGCATTGCGCAAGAGGGCTTTTCTTGCACAAGAAGGGGCAGTGTAGACAGCTCCTTCTAGCGCAAGAGCCTCTTCCGCAAATATGGTGGCTCATTAGGTATGCAAATGAGGCTCGGCGATATTCCATGCTTAGCTTCATTTGCATATTTCTGGCGCAAGATCGCGCCAGTGTAGAGACAGCCTTCCAGTTCCCCACAAGTGGCTGATGGTGGAATTTGCTAATAATAAAAGCATGTCGGGCCTGTCTGCTCTGTGGATCAGAGGGCTTTGGTTTCAGTCACAATACAGGTTGAACCTCTCTGGTCTGGGACTCTCTGGTATAGCAACATTGGATGTTGCTGGAACTAAGAGCCGTAACCACTGAGGTTGCCAGTGACTGGGAGCTCAGCCGGTCTGGCAGCAGGCAGCCAGCAGGGCCAGTGGCCTGGGGGCAGGGACCCCGGCAGGCAGAGTGGCAGCTGGAGTAGGGGGGAAGAGGGTTCAGAGGATTTGGTTGTGAGCTGGGGCAGGGTATTGGGGTACAGGGTCTAGGAGGGGGTATAGGTGCAGGAGAGTGTGGATCTGGGAGGGTGTGCAGGGTCTGGGAGGGCGTGGGGGGGAGGGGGGGCTGCAGAGACAGACACAGACTCTGGTCGGGAGGCACTTACCTAAGCAACTCCCTGCCAGCAGCACTCTCAGGCAAGCTACACCCCATCCACCCCCCGGCAACAGCCCCAGATGGCTGGCTGGTTGTGCATGTGGCTCTCTGTACTGCAGGGAGGAGAGGAGGGAGGGATGGAGAGGCTAGCAAAAGCCCCCTTACTTTATGTGCGTGTCACTTTTGTAATACCGTTAGGAAAAAAAAATGTGACCGAAAACCAGCAGAATCCAGCAACCCTGTATGTGGGCCACAACGGTAAACAAAATCTCCCGTGGGCCACACACAGAACCTCAGTGGGCTGCATGCGGCCCTCAAGCGGCAGGTTCCCACCACTGTCTTAAAGTAACAAGGGTGGAGAAAGCAGACATTGACTTGTGCGGTGTCCCCGGTGATTATAGAAAGTCTTCTACCGGAGCTTAGTGTAAGCTCTGGGCCACTGAAAGGGAACTCCCTAGTGCTTAATTTGCAATGAATGAGGGGCCAGGATTCTGGCAATTTTTTTACATTCATAACTAATGCAACAGGGTCAAAAGGGTCAGAGCTCTGAAATGCCTAAAGGTGCCAGTGCACAACGTAAGCACTGGAAACCCCTCCTGTCTGCATTGAACCAATCTTCCCTTGGCTGTGTATCCATGTGTAAGATTTAACCCTTTATCACCAGTGCTCCTTTTGCACTGGACCGCACATAGACCCTTCAGGTAATCAAGTGTGACCCTGAATGATTTGCCTTTCTGGGGATAGGGGCTGTCTCTCACGCTCTTGCATGGAGACTCTCACAAAGGGAACTGATCTCAATGGGAGCTCTACTGGGTGCCATGGCAACCACCATTAATCATTTGAAAGCCAGAACTACGTTCAAGTATTGCCTGTGTGTTTTGGCAGAGCCTGGATCTGGAGTACCACAATGAACCTGAGACTAGAAGAGTTTCCAGTTCTACCATAGTTGAAAACGGACAGTCCTTGACAGGTAGGAGGAGAGAAATGCTTGAAATAAGTCTTTTCAAGACCGACTTTTGAAAGCAAAATATTGCTGCTGGTCAAGTGCTCAATTCTGTCAGGGACTGAGCTATTTTCTAATGTTGCCAGTGTCATACTCTATAAAAGTTTCAGCATGAGTACTGTACACTAAGGCCCTGGTCCTGCAAACTCTTAGGTGTATCGTAGAATCCTAGGGGTTGTAAGAGACCTCAGGAGGCCATCTAGTCCAACCCTCTGCTCAAAGCAAGACCAACACCCAACTAAATCATCCCAGCCAGGGCTTTATGAAGCTGGGACTTTATCAAGCTGGGATTCCACCACCTCCCTAGGGAACCCATTCCAGTGCTTCACCACCCTCCTAGTGAAATAGTTTTTCCTAATATCCAGCGGCAGATTTAGGGCAGAGTGAGCGGGGCGGCTGCCCTGGGCCCCGCGGCACTCTCATCCACCCCTGCTAATATCCAACCTAGACCTCCCATACTGTAACTTGAGACCATTGCTTCTTGTTCTGCCATCTGTCACTACTGAGAACAGTCTCTCTGCATCCTCTTTGGAACCTCCCTTCAGGTAGCTAAAGGCTGCTCTCAAATCCCCCCTCACTCTTCTCTTCTGCAGATGAAATAAACCCAGTTTTCCTTCATTGTACCGCAGTATCCTAATCATATACTTAATTCTATTACCTATTAGAATACTAGAATACTATTACCAATGAGTAGTCCCATTAACTTGTTTGGACCTAAGACCCGTCATCAGCATGACTTCCGATTACTGATAACTGGACTTTGTATTCTAAATGCCTTCCTGTCCATGCATTAACAGTTAAACTATTAATTAACTCTCACCACCTTTGGGAAAGGTCTTATCTCTTTCTCAGAAAAAGAGAAACTGAGGCACAGATGATTTAAGTGAACCAAAGAAGAACAAAGGAGTCCTGAATCCAAATCCCCAGCAGTAGGTGCTGGACATAGTGGCCCTAAAAGGAAACATAGTTGGAATAGTCATCTAAAATAGCTTTTCTAATTAAGAATCTTAAAAAATAGAATATGATCAGTTACTGCTCATTTGTATTGGAATCTGCGCAATCAAACATAAGTCACATAGTCTGTTAGGGGAAAAGTTGATTGTTATTCCAGTTTCCTAAAATAAAATTAAATAAAGTCATTGTGCATAGAAATTGTTTTGTATTTTTAAAAATAGCTGTCAATAAAAATATTTCTCTCTCATTTTCTTTAATACCTTAGGACAGGCAAAAGTCGCTGAGGAAGTGACTGCTTCCCTCCACATGTCAAACTCTTCTCCTGAAGCACATGCCCCTGCAGTAACCTTACGGATGCCCCACCTCCCTGTTACTGCAATAACAAGAGTGTCAGAAAAGTTTTCTGGAGAAACCTCCTCTATCTTATCAGGAACTAGTAATGCTACCAGTGGCCTGACAGGGCAGAGCAGGAGCCAGAATGAGGCTGTGATGAAAACTTCCAACCAATCAGGTAAAATAAATTTCTAGACATGAAAATAATTTGCTCACCAAAGCCAGGCCTGTTTTTAAATAAATAAATTAAATTAAACAAGCTGATATAATTTGATTCCTGTTCACACTATTCAGTGTTCTTTTCTCAAGTGCACGTCATACAAAGGTTAGTAGCCATGATGTTTATAGTCCAGTTTATTTGAGCCTAAGTTACACACTGGAAATTTTACATTGACATTGCTCCCATTTGGGGTTATAAAGAACCCAATTCAAAGCCAGCTGAAACCAGTAAAAGTCTTTCCATTGACTACAGTAGTTTTGGGATCAGGCTCAATGGTTTGTTCACAACAACTTCCCTATGAAGAAGGTTTTGTTGCTCCTCTTTTAAAGATGAGGAAACCCAGGTGCAGGGAGTTCAACAAGAAGCGAGCAGTGTGGCCCAGAATAAAACAAAGGAGTCCTGACAAAAGTGGGTTAGAAAATAGGAGTCTGACCCTGATGGAATGACTCCAGTGGAGATACTTACTCCTGATTTGTAAAAGGAGGGTCCAGCCTCATTGTCAGCAGGGCTATGTCTAGACTGCAAGCCTCTTTCGAAAGAGAGCGTCTAGACTGCATGAGGAACTTTCGAAAAAGCAAGCCACTTTTTCGAAAGAATGCAGCGAGTCTGGATGCTCTCTTTCTAAAAAGCCCTGTTTGCTTTCAAGAATGCCTTTTTTCGAAAGAGCACTTTCGAAAGAAGGCGTTCTTCCTCGTGGAATGAGCTTTACCGCCGTCGAAAGAAAAGCCGCGTTCTTTCGATTTAATTTCGAAAGAACACGGCTGCAGTCTAGACGCAGGTGAAGTTTTTTCGAAAAAAGGCTACTTTTTTCGAAAAAACCCCTGAGTCTGGACACAAGAGAAACTGAGTCAATTTAAATAAAAAAAAAAAGTCCCTCCTTTCTGCCTGCCCGTTGATGAAAACAAAGAAACAAGCCAAATGCTCTTTTCTTTTTGGCTTTTCAGTGACTGCTATGAAGACCTGGAATTCAAGTTCTGTGAGAACAGTGGGCACATCCGTCTCTGCTGGTGGGTGTTATTTTCCCTGTCTTTCAGCCTGGTGGGTATAACCAACTGTGACGGCGAGTCAGGGTTCCTCCTGATCCTGCAGCCCCGTAGCAGCAAGAACAGACTCCGCCAGCCAATAGGATAGAGAGGGTTTATTGGTTCTCCAGGATACAGCACAGCATAGACGTGATGTGGTTACAGGAGTCAGGGCCAGGATGCCTCAGGCCCCTTGGGTTGGTTAGGAGGTTCATTCTCCCCTCCTCACCCCCCAGACCCTCAGCCTTCAACTTAGGTTGTTTCCTTCATGATTCCCAGCCAGCAACTGCCCCTTCCCCCAAAACCTGGTGTTGGGCTCTGCCTCCCTCCCTTTGTCTCTCTCCCTGGGAAGCGCTTTGTTATCTGGTCAGGCTGGGCCTAGGTGTCTGGGCTAATCCATATGTGGGTGAGTCAGTGGGAATCACACATCACAGCGCCGGGGGACACCGGGTTACAGAGCAGAGAGCCCCCCACTACATCACACCACCACCTACATTACTGTGCTAAATAGTAACAGGTAGCCAATGCTGCAGGGTTTGGGAGTTCAGATCTGGCCCCCTGTCTGCAAGTCGGGTTTGTCTATCTGCTAATCTTGAATTGGATTTGGTTCTGTTGACAGGGCTGCATGGAGATATCCCACTGAAGTCAGGGAGAGTCTTTCCATTGATTTCAGTGAGAGTCAATAAAGCAATTCTCAGCAAAGGGCAAATGGTCCAGTCAGACTCATGGGATGTCTACACAGCAAAAGCTGTTCATGGGCTGGCCTACCACACTAGTTTGAATCCAGCGACTGCAGGCAACAGCAGCAGTGTAGATAGTGCCATGTCAGCTTTGGAGCTGGCGAGCCCGCCAAGCATTTATCCAGGGTCCCTGGCAGTCTTGAACTTGCACTGCTGCCTTTTCTGCTATTGTTCACCTGTGTTAGCTGGATTCCAGAGCACTCTGGTAGGCTAACTAGGGCCTCAACTCCACTTGCCACACCAGAGATCAATCTTCTGGGGTTTGATTTAGTGGGTCTAGTAAAGACCTTCTAAATCAAATGCTGAGGGTAGCTCCAATCAGTGCCAGTGCTCCTCACAAGAAGAAGGGAAGCTGACGGGAGTATTTGCTCCCATCAGCCTCCCATTGTGAAGATGGTGCCAAGCTTGGCTTAAGGTCCGTTGACGCCAGCAACATTATTTATGTAGTTTGAGTCGCGCACCTTACGCTGAACTCTGGGTCTTGTATAGGCCTGTCCTTGGGCACACCCTTAGCTGTGTAGACATGCTCCTGAAGTAATTTGCCACTGGAGTTTGGTTTCACAGACCCTTAGGATGATCCACTCAGAAGAAAGTAAAACTTACGGTTTATTTTGGATATTCCACCCCTGCTTGTTGTCTGTGGAAAATCAATGAACACTTCATAAATCACTCTCCTAAAAGGAAACCTTCTGATGGTTTGTCTAGCACTGAGACCATGGTGTTACCATATCTGACTGGGTTTTGCATTCTTTACTGTACACTGGGGCAAACTTGATTTTCAGGAGGCAAGAATGGCCAGATGCCTTAGCTGTGGGGAGCATGGCAGGAGTAAGGACTGTGTGAAGTTGCAGCCTGGAGAGCTGGTGGGAAAGGACTTTAATATGGGTGGCATTTCCATGAAGGCAGAATAAACCCTGGTACATATAACGAAGGCTGCTAAATGGAGCTGCTTTGGTACAGCAGCCACACTGCATAGAAGACTGAAATGGCTGTTTCAATGCACTAGCTGTGTGACTTCTACTGCCATGGCAAGTCAATGCATTGCCAGAGCCTTAAGGATGAACACCATGGTTTGGAAACTTTTCTTTTAGACCCCTCCCAGCTTCTTCAATGCAGGGATGTGCAGAAGGACAAAATGCTTCAGATTCTTAATTCATGTCTAAACAAATGACGTGAGCTCTGTCCAGACATCTCCTGAGTTCCCATCATCAAGTGGCTAACAATGCCACTTGGAACTGATTTGCATTGTCAGTTCAACAGGGAGGCAGAAACGACGCAGCCTAGAATACACATTCCAGTCTTAGCACAAGGGTTCGCCCACGGCCTCCAGGTGCTGGGTGAGGATCCAGATCAGCTCTGGGAAAGGAAAAGTTGTCCCTTCCCAGTCCAGGAATTAACCCTGAGAAGAAGGATCTGCACATTTCAGTTTTCAAAGTGAAGTTAAGTTTGCGTTTGAAAACCTACGGCCCACATGCCCTTTCCTTTACAGCAGGGGTTCCCAAACTTTTTGACACAGGGACCAGTAAATCCATTCACGAGCTTCCGGAGGACCGGTAACATTCATTTGCATATTCATTAAGCAAATGACGAATATGCAAATACATTGTTTTGGGTCCTCCCAAAGCTCCCAGGGCCAGCTTTAACAAAGCTTTTGATACGGCCACCCACAACATTCTTACCAGCAAGTTAAGGGAATATGGATTGGAAAAATGGACTGTAATCCAATAAAACCCTGCACCACCACATCGTGTATTGAAAAGGGGCTCATTTATTTTCAGAAAGCTGACACCATCTTTGGAATTTTTTTATCCATATTCTCATTCCGGATGGTGAATGCCCCAGATTCTCTCCATTCTGACACACTGTAGTGCCTTTAAACCTCACTGTCAGCAGTGGGGATATTTAAAAGGCACTGTTTTAAAATTTTTATTCAGGATCTGCGTGTGCCCTGAACTGTCCCGCTCCCCGCTGGCCGATTCTCTCCCCCCTCCCCTTCTCCTTCTGCCCTGGGCCAGCCCCACGGTTCCCGCCAGCTGATTCTCTCCCAATCTCTCCTGGAC